CGTCCGCGAGGATGCTGTCCCGCAAGAAAACCAAAAACGAGGTGTCCAAGCCGGCCGAGGTGCAGGGCAAGTACGTGAAGAAGGAGACGTCGCCCCTGCTGCGGAGTGAGTGTCGCTCGCGGGCCGGGGACGGGTGGGGGGGACCCTGCGAAGCCCCGAAGCTCCGGCGGGTGCTGCAAGACGGGCTCCCGGGGAATGCACGGCTGGCTGTGCCTGGTGTTGGAGGAAAAGTGCCCAGACCCGGGGCTCTTCTCCGCTGGGTACGTCGGGGCGTGCCCGGGGGTGGGCGACCCTCGCGGGCGACAGTCGCCTGCGCCACCGAGTTAGCACACGCAGAAGACTGGACGCCTTAGTCCTGCGGCGGGACCCAGCCTTGTAGCCTCCTCCTATCTCTCAGAGCGGACCGGCCACTAAAGTATTCGCTTTTAGGTTTTGCTCCTCAAATTCCGAAAAAGCAAAGTACTCAGAGTAATTTCTGCCGTAGCAGGCAAGTTACTAACTTTCTCAAACCTCCTCTTTCTAGGGTATGTTCTGACTCCTCCCATAGCTTTTCTTCTCCGTTTAAGATAGTTGAGTCTGAGTTTTTGTACTTGAACGTCTTGATTTTCTTTTTAAAATTCGTGTGTATTCGGAATAGTTATAAGAGAAGGAGCTAATCCTTTGGTTCTCATTCTAGGAGCTGGGCCCCTTGTGTAATGTACGTTTCCTCCTTGGAAGCTGGTAGTAACCGTGTGACTTAAATTAAGCATTACCTCATATTGTTCACAGAGGTTCCTAGTATTTGCACAAGACCACGCAGAAAGGGGTGGAGAGCATATTTTTTTCATTGTGACCATGTGTCGAGCCTTACAGGTTATGTTAATAATTGTAGTGCTTGACGACAAAGTTGGTCCGGTGGGTATGTCAGTAACTTGAAACTTTACTTTTAAATGCTTGTTTTTCTGTTTTTAGGTGATAGCTTGCTTTTTGCTGCAAGTAAAGCTTATTAAACATTACTTGAAATCATGCAACATGTTAAGTTGAATCAGTGAATTACTCGATACAGTTCTGTCATCAATTGTTAATTATTCCAATATTAAGATATTTTAGTGTTAGCTTCTGACACCTTTCATTTACTTAATGAATTCAGAAAATGTGCTCCATATCCAGATTTCTTCATGTTTTAAAGGTATTCGCTTTCTAAGAAAATCTAAGCTGTTGGCACGTTCTGTTTTTTAGCAATCCATTATTTTGCTTTGAGTTATCTGTTCTTAAAGGAGCCATAATTCCAGGCTTACTGTTTTTCAGTAGATTCAACATTTGTGCACATCTTCGGAATTAGATGAGTTTATTTTTCAATTTCCACACTGAAAGGTTTTGCTTTTTAGTTTTGATAAATGTACCTAGAACTGGGTAATTCTGAGAGTAGAAAGACAAAACTATTGGTTAAAAATCTTTTAAAAGAAATCTGCCTTTCCATGTTTTGGAGGAGCATTTTTTATTGTACTGAAACTGTGTTTGCATGAAGAAAGATTCTTGGCAATACTAAAATCAAGTGAAAACCAAAGCGCGTCATACGTGATGCTGGTGACTGCACTGATTTGTTAGGTTATTGTCAGCCTTACTGACATTGTATCATATTATGTCTGGCAATAAACAGCATCGGTTCAGTTGTAGCTGAGCTTCCACATAGCACACTAATACAGATTAGAAATCTATTTGCTTGGGAAAATAGTCTCAACTTAAAGTACTAGTACTGTTTTAAAATTTAAATTTTGTTTTCTGAAGCCCTTTGTTATTTTGACAAACAACTTTAGAAGAGTGTATTTATTTGTTGAAATGATGATGCTATTCTTTGTTTGATCGTAGATCTCATGCCTTCATTCATTCGGCATGGTCCAACAATTCCAAGACGGACTGACATCTGCCTTCCAGATTCAGGTTCTAATGCTTTCTCAGCTTCTGGAGATGGAGTAGTTTCAAGAAACCAGAGTTTTCTGAGAACTCCAATTCAAAGGACGCCTCACGAAGTAATTAGAAGAGAAAGCAACAGACTGTCTGCACCTTCTTCTTATCTTGTCAGGAGCCTCGCAGATGTTCCTCGAGAGTATGGCTCATCACAGTCATTTTTAACAGAGGTTAATTTCGCTGTTGAAAATGGAGACTCTGGTTCCCGATACTTTTATTCAGATAACTTTTTTGATGGTCAGAGAAGGCGGCCACTTGGAGATCGTGCACAAGAAGACTACAGGTATTACGACTACAACCATGAGCTCTTCCAAAGAATGCCACAGAATCAGGGGAGGCACACTTCAGGTAACTTGACATAATAAAATAGCACATTGGTTTATTCTTACTGATATTTTGATTTAAAAGGTGATCTTCCATAGGTTCTTGCTTCTGCCTGCTTGCTTGAAGTTTTTAAACTGTAGTGGATGACAGAATTCTTGTGTCTGTTTACTATGCCATCATATTAAACTTGGTGCTCACCTCAAGACCATCTTGACTGTTAACACTTCAGGGTTTAAAAATGTGAAAAATGTAATGTCTCTAGTTAGATTGAAACTCAATTTAGATTTGGTAGAATGAGAAAGGTCAAAGTGGTCTTAGCCTAGGAAAGGAAAGGAGAGGTGTTGACTGCTAGGGATCCATGGTGTGGGCAGTTGCATGCTTGGTGACCTAGCACAGCCGTTTCTGTGATCCTCACTCGGGGTGGTCGATAGCACTTTCTCAGTTTGGTCAAAAGACTTACCCATGGTTAACTATGTGTGAACCATGCCTTTTTCTAACAGCTGGGGCATACTGATGATGTAATGAAGAGAGCTGCACTTTGTTTCCCTTCTGACCTGGAGGTACTCCTCCAAGGAGGGGGTTAGGAATGTGGCAGTTCCACCTGATTCCTAAAGTTGCCGTAGATGAACTGGTACAAGTTAAAAAGAAAACTTTTCCCGCCTAGTAAGTTGTAGGCCTTCAGTTTGACAGGATAAAGATCGATGTGTGAGGCTGATTGGCTTTTCAGCAGCCACAACTTCTAATAAACCGACTTAACAATTTGGAATACAACTGTTTTAGCCATAGGAAAATTATCTTCATTTAATATTAATTATGTGTCTAGCATTTTCTTGATCCTCTTGGGATACCATATTTGGGGAGACAAAACCAGCACACACAATAGTCCTGGAACGACTAATGGCTATACTTTGTAGTCCTCTGTAGACTGTTAGAGGGAGTCGGAAGAAAGAGGAGTGTAACTGGAATACTTACAGGACTGCACGCTCCAAGGAGCAGAGAGACTTTGAAGTAGGCATTGAGCTCGGACTTGACATTAACAGGGTAGAAGAAAGACCCACTGCAAACAGAGCAGGGGCGGTTTACATTAGGAGACTGTATTCTTACCTGTTTGAAGAACTATGACGTAAGGTGAAATGGAGAGCCATGGTCCAACAGAAAGCCGAGACTGGAAACAAAGAAGCCATTGCACATGTCAAGATCAAATGCTGGAGAGATGCTCAGTGGTTAAGAACACAGGCTGCTCTCCTAGAGGACTGGGTTTATTTCCCGCACCCACACAGCTGCTCACAGTCTTCTGACTCCAGCTTGAGGGAGGTGACACCCTCTTCTGGCCTCCTCAGCACTGGGCAGATAAGTGGTGCAGGGTGTCTTCCAAGAGCACCAGGTCCCCAGAAGTGGATGGAGTTGTAGGCAGTTGGGAGCTGTCATATGGGACCTGGGAACAGAACCCAAGTCTTCTGCAAGGCCAGCAGGTGCCTTTAACCTCTGAGCCATCTCTCCAGCCCCCAATGGTTAATACTTCAAAGCAAATTAGTGGGGACCTGCTGCAGACATTTGGAAGGGACAGAGGGAAGGTGGGACACATCCACATTCATAGAACTAGGGTCCCTAATAGGGCCGGAGATGAGGGAGAAGGAAGAGTCAGATATGGCTAGCATAACACCTTGGTACAAAGGATGTGCTTAATTGAGTGAGTGAGTGAGTGAGTGAGTGAGTGAGTGAGTGAGTGAGTGAGTGAGTGAGTTCAGAGGTTTCTGATCTGGAGACTGACGGCATAGCTTGTTAACTGAAGGAGAGCAGAGATAATAGCTGTGTTTATTGTCCATGTAGAGCAGTGGGTCTCAACCTTCCTAACGCTGCGACCTTTAATACAGTTCCTCGTGGTGTGGTGATGATCCCCAACCATCAAATCATTTTTGTTCCTACTTCATGACTATAATCTTGATACTGTTATGAATCATAAAATAATGTAAATATCTGTGTTTTCTGATGGTCTTAGGTGGCCCCTGTGAAAGAGTTATTTGACCCCAAGGGGGTCACAACCCACAAATTGAGAACCACCAGCATAGATGATTTGTTGAGTTCTTTGCACTTTTTTTCCCATTTGTGTATTGCAAATATCACTGATAGCTCAAACGGATTGAATATCCCAGTTCCAGAAATCTGACCTTTGAAATGTTCCAAAATCCGAACATTTTTGAGCATGAACATGACACCATATTGAGGCAATTTTTCTTTCTTTTTTATTAAGACATTTTCTATTCATTTTACATACCAGCCACAGATCCCTTCCCCCTTCCTCCTCCCACCTCCCAACCCCCCCCCCCATCTCAACCCCCTTTCCCACCTCCTCCAAGGCAAGACCTCCCGTGGAAAATCAGCAAAGCCAGATACACTCAGTTGAGGCAGGTCTAAGCCCCTCTCCCTGGACCAAGGCTATGTAAGGTGTCCCACCATAGGTAGTAGGCTCCAAAAAGCCAGCTCATGTCCTAGGGATGGATCCTGGTCCCACTGCCAGGGCACTCCTAGAGCAGATCAAGCTACATCACTGTCTCACATATGCAGAGGGCCTAGTCCAGTCCCATGGAGGCTCCACAGCTATTGGTCCCCAGTTCATGAGTTCATAATTTAGTTTGTTTGTCTCTGTAGGTTTCCCCATCATAATCTTGATGCCCCTTGCTCACAGACTCTGTCTTCTCTCTCTTCGACTGGACTCCTGGAGCTCGGCCTGGTGCTTGGCTGTGGATCTCTGCATCTGCTTCCATCAGTTACTGGGTGAAGGCTCTCGTAGTCCAATCGGCACTCAGCATTTTTTTTTTTTTAACTGTTGTGTGTGTGCATTCATGTGAGTGTTTTAAGATACAGTCTCACTGTATAGCCCAGGGTAGTCTGGAATTCACTATGTAGCCCAAACTAGCTTCAAACTTAGTAGTTTGAATGCTCCTCCTGCTTCTGTCTTCCTAGTGCTGGGATTACAGGAGTAAGCCCTCACAGTTCACTGTCAAATTGACAGCTGCACTGAAAATACTATATGAAATTATCTTCAGGCTGTTTTTATAAGAGATATGTAAAACATACATGAATTTGATGTGCAAACTTGGGGCTATGCCCAGGATATTACACCACACCAATTCTAAAATCCAAAACACCATTGTCACAGCATCTGGATATGAGATACTCAACTTGTAATTGTTTTATTCCTTAGCTTTCTGTATTTCATTTATTTGTTTGTTTGTTTGTTGTTTTTTTGAGACAGGGTTTCTCTGTGTAGTTTTGGTGTCTGTCCTGGATCTCACTCTGTAGACCAGGCTGGCCTTGATCTCACAGAGATCCGCCTGGCTCTGCCTCCCAAGTGCTGGGATTTAAAGGTGTGCACCACCACTGCCCAGCTAATTTTCTGTATTTTAAATATGAAGAAATGAAATGCCAAGTTGAAATCTTGTTTTAAAATTCTGATTTGTAAAATATCATTGAGGAAATACTATAAACTGAATTTCTACCCATCTCTCCTAGGAGCAGTCGGACATGGTTTTTGTAATAAAGGTAGATTTTAAAACAACTTGTCAATTACAATTAGAATGGAAGTGTACGATCTGGGGAGATATCTCAGTCCCTAGAGTGTTGGCTAAGCAAGCATGAGGAACCTTGTCGGGAATGGTGGCCTGCTCCTGTAACCCAACAGTTGGGGTGGAGGCGGTTGCGAAAGATGGATCCCTGCAGCTCATTGGCCAGCCAGCCTAGGTAAATCCATGAGCTTCAGATTCAGTGAGAGACCCTGTCTCAAAAAAGTTTGGAGAGCAGGTGAGGAAAAGGCACCTGATCTAAACCTCAAGCCTCTTTGGGCCTCCACAAGCACATACGAACATGAACACATGTACACAGCTACACTATTGTATACATACTATATATACAACACACACAGAAAGTACACGTTCATTGGGCATTTTTCCAAATGTAATATTATCTTAAAAATAAGATTTGAGCTGGGCAATGGTGGCACACACCTTTAATCCCAGCACTTGGGGGGCAGATCTCTTTGATCTTGAAGATAGCCTGGTCTACAGAGTGAGTTTCAGGAAACCCTGTCTTGAAAAACCAAAAAGGGGAAAAAAACGGTAAGATTTGATTTTAGGTTATAACCAACATCTGCTTTTAATGTCAGTAGACTTCCATTCTGAGTCTCTTATATGAAAAAAAAAAGAAAATTGCTTTTTAATTTTTTTTCCTTTTTTTGAGACAGGATTTTCTCTGTATCTCCTTGGCTGTCCTGGAACTTACTCTGTAGACCAGGCTAGCCTTGAACTCACAGAGATCCACCTGCCTCTGCCTCCCAAGTGCTGGGATTAAAGGTGTGAGGCTAATTTTTAAAGATTCCATCTGTTCTAGTTTGGGTTACTCGACCCTCTTTCCTTTCATGTGAAATGGTAATGAGTCTCTGCTGGAGTTCTGGTGGATATGGTTCTGTGTGCATTTCACCCCATGTTTTAGGACTGGTTTCTCTGTGATGTTAGTTTGACCATGTTCTCGCTGTCTGCCTGGTTTAGTCATCAGGAATTCTCCAGCAAGCTTACCTGTTGGTTTGGGAAGTCAATAACGATCCTTTTCGTTGGGGGTTGTAAACTCTGAGACCTTAATTCTGTCATTTCTTCTGATTTATTAGTTGGAGTTCTAAAACAGTTTTCTTTTATAAGTACTTTGATGGTTATTCATTTAGGAAAGATGGGGTAAACACTAGATCTTTCCTTTTATTTACTATTTTTCAGAGTAATGAAGCGGTACCTCAGCCACTTTCAAAGATAAGTAGTGCAGGTTTTTTGTGGGCTATCTCCATGACCTCATAGATAAGTTTTTAATTCCAGGATTTATTTAGGTTTAACTAGGTTTTTCATTAATATCCATTTTCTGTTCCCAGATCCACTCATATCTGTAGCCTTCTGTGGTCTCTGCCACTGTTAGGTTTTTTAGTTTCTGTGATCATGATAGTGTCAATGAGTTCATGCCAGACATTTTGTTGAACCCCCTCACTATGATTTTTATCTGATATTTTTCCTCCTGATTAGATTGATCTTATTTTATTGGCTTTGAGAGGTGGAGGAGGGAGGAGAGAAGGGAAGAAGGATGAAGGACAGAGAAAGAAAAAGAAATCTAGTGTATAAGGAGTTACACAATATCCATGTGCTATTACTATGGCGGATTTCTCCATTGGACTTGACTGTTTCCCCCTTCTAGACCTTTTTTTGGGGGGTGTCACTAACACTAATGCACTTTGAAGAGGGCAAGTATATTGAGCTTTCCCTGTTGGGGTGGGGATAGCTAAATATGTGCAGTTCTGCTCTAATATCTAAATATGTCAATTTTCCCACTAAGGAAGTTTTCTCTCTTTTCTTATTCTGTAGTTTCTATCATACATATATATTACATATGTTTATTTTATATTTAGGGTCACAATGTGGTTTTGAGTCATTTATTGTCCAAGTTGTTCCAACTTTGAACTGTAGTTGGAAGTTTTCCTGTGTCCCAGCTGGCCAGTGGTCGGGACAATTTTTTCCTACTCGTGTCCCCCAAGTAAAACACACAGAGACTTATATTAACTATAACTGCCTGGCCACTAGCTCAGGCTTATTACTGACTAGCTCTTACACTTAAATTAACCCATAATTCTTGTTTATGTTTAGCCACGTGGCTTGGTACCTTTTCTCAGTTCTGCCTTGTCATCTTGCTTCCTCTGTGTCTGGCTGGTGACTCCTGACTCAGCCCTTCCTCTTGCCAGAATTCTCCTCATCTGCTTATTGCGCTTATACTTCCTGCCTGGCTACTGGCCAATCAGCGTTTTATTTATCAACCAATTAGAGCAATATACATTCACAGCATGAAGAATGACATCCCACAGCATTGAACATTAGACACTTTCTATATGATGTCCGTTCTGTTTTTGAATAGTTCTTCCTGAGACTACAGAATGTTAAGCACATCTTGTGATTCTGATCCAGACCCAGGATTGGTTGCTTCTTCAGCGTGCACTTGTAGAATTTAGAGTCGCTATACTGCTGTAGTGGGCACCTCTGTTGTTTGAACTGCTCCCGTGGACACTCATCCCCTGCGACGGTCTCCTCTGGTCTTCACTGTTCTTTGTGCTTTCTAATGGGCCTGGACGGTTGAACGTTCCAGACTCCTTTGTGTCTGGCCTGTGTCAGACACCTGTGGTTCAAGGAGTCCTCAAGGAGCTCGGGTTCTTTCCATAGGGACTGGGATTCTTAGGATTGGGATCACAACTAGGATTCGTTGCTACTGCATGGATTATTGCTTCCAGGTATTTCAGTGGACAAATCTAGGAAAGACATTTGGGTATTTGTTTTAGAAACAGTTTCATCAGTTTATACTATTGGTGATTTAAATGAAGATCCTAGATTTTTACTTTTTGCTTTAAAACATTCACTGTAGAACATGTGAACCATAAAATTCACCATCTTTAAACATGATGAGTGTCTTGTTGTGTGGTATTAGTCTATATATTCACATTGTGTTGCCATGCTTGCAGATACTTTTTCATGTTGCTAGAGTTTTCCGCCTTGCCCACAGTCAGGACAAATCT